AATAGGAACTGGACTAATTTTGATTAGTGTGTGGCGGTCTCTGCTCAACAGAAGTGGATCGTTTGACTGTCTTCTATCAAAAGGACATGTTGGAAATCTTTTCTCTATCAGCAGTTTCAGCCAATTGGCTGCAGTTGCTGATAAGTGTATTCTGACAGTGTAGGCCCCCGCTGTCTGAATACAATGTCCCAGTGGGGAGGATTCTTCCATCCTTTTGGTTTGCATGGATGGAGGAATCAGTTTTTTTTTTTTTTTTACTTTGGTTTAGCGCCCTTGCTGAAAAAACCCCAAATCATCTATGGCCAGCGTAAGCTCAATTTGTCTTCTATAGAGAGTTGGGAGTAAGACCCAACCTGGCAAATTGTCAACTCAATCAACTGCCAACATGTTTTAAGAATTGGATGGTTTGCGTTGGCTTCTCTTCTTTCTGAGTCACTGACTTGGAACAATCATAGAGACAGGGAATTTTGACACTTTTTATATGATTTACATGATGCTTCTTCCAGGTTTTCTACTAAAACATCCTAAAACGGACACCCAAGCAACTAGCATATTAAGAAAGAGGCCAGCAATGACAGCCCCTGTACTCCTCTAATGACAGTGGTCCGTAAAATACATAATACAGAGATATTGTGGATCAGTGTTGATAATAGGATTTTTTTTTTTTGACTTACCGGTAAATCTGTTTCCTGGAGTACAGTACATGGCACAGGCTACCTTCAAATGATTGAGCACTGACCAAAAAGAAGGGCTGTGGCAGCATCTCCCTGTATAACCCGTCCCACTCCCAGCTAACCTCAGTTTTATAGCAAGCAATAGGGAGATCAGAACAGAGGGGTGGGTCCTGTATCCTGTGATGTACTGGTATTTACTGGTAGGTCAAAAATTCTATTTAACTGATTGTACCATACAGGACACAGGCTTCTTTAGATCAGGATGACTGGGCTGTTCAAAATCAGTCTAGTCAAGAAATGGGCAGCACAGAAAACAATGTCAACAGGCCTACATAATAATCAGGTCAAGAAGGGCTCAAAAGATTCGGAGAGCAGCTTGTAGCACCTTACAGTTGAAACTGGCATCAGAAGATACCTGAACATCCACTTTGTAGAACCTAACAAATGTGTGAATAGAAGCCCAGGTGGCAGCCTTTCAAGTCCTAAGAAACAGAAGCCTGATGCCAGAGGTGTAAGTAGAACCTTCAGGGCCCTGTGCAAGAAAATATGAAGGGTCCCCCTGGCCCCCAGCTCTTCCTACTGATCCTAGGGCCCTTTACCCCCATCATGATTATAATGGTCCCCTTCCTGCCATCTTGGGGTCCCAGGGTCCAGTCACAAGTGCGACCTTTGGGACTCCGGTAGTTCCGCCTCCGGTATGTCAGTAGTTTTTTATTTTCGTTATTTTATTTTTGTATTTTTTTACCATTTTACCTTATTTTATTTATTTACAATTTTTGTAAATTTTTACAAATGTTTTTAATATTTTTTTTTAAAACATTTTTTAGGACCCCCTTTGGGGTTCTTTGGTGAAATATCAGGGGTGTAAACAGACCTCTGAGGTTTCACCTTTGAGATAGAGAAAGGAGATTGAGGACACATCCCTCAATCTCCATGTCTGCAGCCTCAGCAGCACAGAATGAATCAACAGAAATAGCTCTGTGCAGAGCTTCCCATTCATTCATAAACTGAAGCATATTAAACACAGTTTACAATGCCTCAGCTATGCATGAAAAAGAATTAAAAAAAAAACAATCAGTGATCGCCACTGATCACTGGCTCTATTCATTAAAACAAAGAAGGGGCAGATTTACTGGCCTCTCCCTACTCTCCATCCTGACATTATGGAGATTTTTAGGTACCATAGGTACCGTTCCATTGACGTACGCAGTTCTAAAGCATGATATGTTAGGTATCTATTTACTGAGCACAGCATCATCTTTGTTTTTTTTAACAAAAAAAATGGGTAATATATTGTGTTTGTGTGCACTAAAATTCATTAAAGTGTTTTTTTTTTTTTTTTTTTTTTTTTTTTTTTTCCCCAAAATTTGCATTTAAAAAATCAGTGGGCAAATACCGTGTGACATACAAAATTACAAAACTCACCATTTTATTTTCTAGGGTCTCTGCTAAAAATATATATAATGTTTGGGGCAAAAAAAATGATGATTTGTACATGTGGGAGAGAAATGTCAGACTTGGTTTGGTAGGGAAGTAGTTAAGGAGGGATGTTAACCTTTTATCTATTGGGTTTTTAAAGTGTCATTGAGTCCACCCAGACAACTTTATAAGTGTTATCAGCAAATGTACTGGTAAAAGCAATTCCTTATAGCACGTGTGACATGAAAACATTGCTCCACACTGCCCTAAGACATGGGAGAAGGAGCAAGCAGAAAGGCTAAAGCTTCAGATGTATGTGCTAATGTCACTCCTGGAAGTTGTTTTCAATGACTTGACTACATACAAACCTACTAGCACTGTTGATCTCATGGGATAAAAGAAAACAAAAAAAGATTTGCAATAACAAGACCTGTAGCAGACATTTTTTGAATGTAATAAATCATAAGAATACAAATCAAGAAATGATAATCATTCTTTTTATGGTGGAGGAGGAGTTTGTTTAGATGTACAGCTATGTAATCAACCCCTGCTGGAACCTCCCCAAAAGCAGATATCCAATCTCGTGGGGCAGAGAGCAGCTGGGCAGCTGTTACGCCACATGCTGGAGCTGCCCCTCAAGCTGATGCTGATAAAAAATACTTACATGGTTCAGCTTCCAGCTGGACAAGGAGTAAGTTAATGGCTTCCTCTCAGGGTACTGAGGTAGCGTGCGCAATCACAGTGATAATGCAGCATGAGATCGGCTGCAGGCAAGAGTGGAGCCCATGGCAGCAACAGAATCAACTAGGTATTTAAAACTTGACCAGATGTAATGATGAAAAGATTCTGCTGTATGGTACAGATAATAATAACTTTTTGCGTTTAATGACACTTTAAACACTGAACTATCCTACAAGGGGCTGTGAAGGGTCTTTTTAGGATAAGAAATGGCTAGATCCACCAAAGGAGTAGCCCATTTCCTAAATAGAATTTTCTCGGTAGGATATTGTTGAAGGAGAAAAAAAAATCTTCTCTGGGTGAGTCTAGTCCCAATATGTCAGGAATGGACTTGCCAGTAATGGTGGGACTCACCTGCCGTGTGGGCTGAGTACCAGGGCTGGCCAGCGGGTGCTCTCAGCAATCAGAGACTCAACCCTGCAGTCAGCCAAACACCTGAAGCTGATTATGGAGGTGTATTTAAGGGATGGCCAGACCTGCAGTCTGGGCCTTGGTGTGTGTTTTTCTATGGGCCCCTGTATCTTGTTACCTGCATTCCTGTTCCTGTTCCTGCCTGACTGACTCGTTGCCGACCCTGCCTGATCCTGACCTCTGCTGACTTCTCCTGTTTGATCCCTGGCTTGTGACCCCGACCATTCTCTGCCTGACCCCCTGTACCTACCTGCCCGTTAGTTGCTGTACCCGGCTCGTGACCTGACTACTCTCTGCCTGCTCCTCCTGTTCCTACCTGCCCGATTGTTATTGACCCGGCCTGCATTGTATGTATTGTTATCTGTGGGTGGCTTGGTTTGGTTTGTTTGCACTTTGTTTATGTTTTAGTATTGCACTGCGTTTTGTATTGTTAGTATTAATAAATTATATTGTTTATACACATATCTGAAGCCTGCGTTTCCCTGCATAAGTTCACATACCTCTGGTCATACTCGGAGCCCTGACACAATATTATACAGGCTAAACCAGCACAAGAACTTCTTAGCTGGTGTAGGGAATCTTGGAAACCCCCCCCATGCTAGAAACCTTTGGGACGAGCAGACTCAGACTGCTCCAATACTAAGAGTACAGCTTCAGTCAGCATAGCAATAGTCTCCTTAAGTCTCAGAGAGATTTCTGTAGCAGGCATGTCATCATGAACAGATGCCTCAGAAGGCAGAGAGTCTTTCACTGATGTTTCCCCCTCAGGTACCATATCTGGCTCAAAGACAAAATCAAAGACTGATGGTCTTCTATGCTCCTCAATAAAATATCCCCAGTGGAGTACTTATGATCTCTGCAATGGTGCAGGAGGAATGTCTCAATGTATTCATCTGTGGGCTGCTGTAACCTAGGATCAGCGATGTAAATTTACCCTTGAGAAGAAGAACCAGAAGATGATGCTTAGGTGGCATCCTGAATCCATAGAGGGGAATAGGCAGGGAACGCAAGTGTAGTAACCTCATTCAGAATGAGGTGGTACATACGAAGAATGTTTTTCAGGCCATTCAGACTCACAGCAGGATCCAGTGCAAAGCAACATTACAGGTCGGCCCCACATCTTCCACCCAAGGCTCTGCCAAGGAAACCACCAATTTAGAAGCTGTGGAAAAAGCTGCAGTGGCTATGGTACAGCCGAGTGATGAAGGAATTGTCTTGGAAGAAATCATCTTGAAAGAAACTATTCAGAGACTGAGAGAGAGAAAAAAAACTGCATACAAGAAGAAAGGCTTCTCTCAGTACCAGGGGCAGACTGACCATTTGGAAACTCGGGCACTGCCCGAGGGCCTGGGGTCAGTAGGGGGCCCCATGAGATGCCCCTGGTACCTTTTTCATAGGATTTTTTGAGTTTGGGCAAGGACACAGGGGCCCCATGGTACCCTATTGCCCGGGGGCCCCATGAGTTGTCAGTCCGCCCCTGGTCAGTACAGAGATGTTCATGCCCTGTGAACACTATCAAAAACTGAAGCTAGTTGGAAGTGGGAGGGGTTATATAGGGGGATGTTCCTGCAGTTTATCTTTTTTGCCTGTGTTTAATCACTTGAAAGGTAGGTGCATATTACCCAGTCATAATGAATTAAAGAAACCCATGTTCTGTACTCAGGAAATGTATTTTTATACTTTTGAGCTTGCATTATTGTTGCCTGTGACAACTATGAATATTCCCCACAAATTCTGAAAAGATTTTCTTACACTTACATCGATTGAGCATCCAATGAGTGAGCCCCTTTCAAAAGCTTTTTTCATGATTTTGAACAAGTCTTTTGGTGCATCTTTAATTTCGTAAAATTCAGTAACGCCACCTGTGAAGTCCTCCATGGCTTCTGTAGTGTTTCCACCTTTAAGTGCCTCATAAGATCCATGTAACCTAAAAAGGACACACTGTACTAAAAGTATGAATAACTAAAACTATACAGACATTGGTGTATTTATAGCAAAAGAGAATTCCTTTACTCAAGAATCTGGGTTTTAAAGATCACTGGGTAAAACAGTAAAACAATGCTACAACTGGTAGCATTAGAAAGGAAAAGCAAAGTGATAATCTTATTATTGAGAAAACACTAGAGATAAAGACAGAAAGAGAGAGAGAGAAAGAGAGAGAGATAAATGAGAATAGATGGATGGAGAGATCCTGTAAATAGGCATGAACCAAAGTGACAAGTTACTGAAATGTTTCTTTAGTTACATTTTACTGAGCAAATGTCCAGTAAATAAGATGATATTTGTCTTCATTTTCTTTATAATTTACAGTATTTATGGTTAAGATGAAAAAATAAATATGAACACATAATTAAAATGCCTCCCAGGATCCTATGGCACAAACCCAAGCTTATAATAGAAAGATTTTGTAAGAGGATGGTTGGGTTCTATTAATGATGAGCCTTGTGAAGAGGTCCTAATCTCCCTGAAACTTACTGATGAGCTTGCCCATCTATTTATACTTCATTGTACAAATCTGAAACAAATTTGGTTGACATATAAACAATTTTATAGTTCATTATGTCATACTGTATATGTCAAGAGGCCCCTGGTTCCTTTTTCCACCTGCTCTGGTTCTACCCATAGATACAGGCTTACTGGAAGCAAATATGAACTTTTTACATGACCTCATGAGTTCCCAGGTACACTAGACCCTTGGCTATGTCTGTTGGGCCCTCCTGCGTCTTTGGAATTAAACATTTATCTGCACATACCTTTGTGCATGAGGTATTGTTTATTGCCAAGAATATGATAGATAAAGTGTGGATCCAAGCTGGGGTGCCTATCTTATAACAGCAGAAAGTGGAGATGAATAAAATGTTCCTGTATAAGAAACTGATCTATGACTACAGAGGTTGCCCCCCAAAAAATTCAGAAAAACTGGGGTTTGTTGCAGTCTTCTAAGGGCCCACTGTCCAATAGATGCACCTCCTTCTTGATTTTAAACAGTGACTCTTGGGCCAGCCATAGATGGATTGAATCACGGCAGTTCGTCAGGGACTGGACAAGATTCAATCTATCTAAGGGCAGGCTGATTGTATCCAAGTTGATCCATCGATCGACTTAGGTACAACCAACATGTCAGGTTTTTAGCAAGCGATTATTGCCAGTGTCTATAGCCACTAGCAGTAATGATTGTGTTCTCTTGGAAGGGATGGCTTTCCGTGCCACCCCCCCCCCTTTCCCACTGCTGGGAGGGATTCCCCCAACAACGCTGACTGTGTTGGGGGAATTTAGTGGTTTTCTTTTCTGTAGCCCTTGGTTGCGGGAACACAATTTACATAATCTATGGTCTGCCTTATGTGTTTAGGTGCTCAGGCTGCAGTACCATATATTGTTACATTACCTTCATCGGGGCTAGGAATAACATAATCCCCTCAAGGAGAGGGATATTGTATTGATATGGAGATGTCCTCATGTTTTTCTAGCCCTGATGAAGAGAGGCACTGTTTGACTTCCAAAAAGCACTGGATACTTTTTGGATTATACCTCTGACCTGTACTGGATATAGTTGTATCTGGACCTCTTAGCAGTGGTGTGGTGCTTCGATTTCCTTTTTTGTTACATTACACTACAAGCCAAGGAGATCTAGAGTGTAGAAACTGCTTGTCCGGAAGCCCGATCAGTTATGACGATATCAATACTTTAAGATAGCAATACCATTGTGAGATAACCCTATGTGTCCATCACTATTTTCCCACTTTCCTCAAATACACTAATTTGTGATCTGTTATATCTAAGGGCCCATGCACATAAACAGATTCTCCAATAAAGCCAATACAGTGTAAACAAGCTAGTGCATTATTGTGCCCAGGGATTCCTGGTGCAGCGTATAGCTGTCCACAGACATGAATGGTTGCAGGCTGTTGTACTTAGCTATGCACTGCTACTTGCGCATATATATATATATATATATATATATATATATATATATATATACAGCATTGGTACACACACACACACACACACACATATATATGATTTGCAACATTGTTATGTGAACTATAAATTTGTTGAAAAACAGTCAGAATTTAAGATACTCACTTTGCATAAGCTTTTTCCAGAAGTGCACTCCAGAACTCATTCCGCTGAGAAGACTTTGTAAATACTAACTGATTGTTAAAAGTCGGCAGGCAGTCATCAATTATCACATCAATCCAATCTCCATAGCGCCAAAACTACAAGAAAACAAACAAAGCATTCTTACAGTATTTTAAAGCTAATACAAACTCTCCCATCTCTATTTGTGGAAAGCAAAAAGCACATCTTGAGGGATCACCAATGCCACCTTCATATTCAGTCCTGGTTTGAAGACATGTTTTCTCAACCTTGTGTCAAAACATATCAAGAGGCTACCTACACATGACGTCAAGTGTTTCAGTGCCCAACCCGACCCACTTGGTCAGAGGAAATAGAGCATCCAGCGTTCCTCCCTAGTCTGTAGTGGGAGAGTTTGGAGAGGCCAGCAGTGTAGATAAGCTTGTCTGGGAAATGCTGGACCATGTTTCTCCATGAGGACAGAAAGGGGAGCTCAGAAGTCCTCTTTGGTTGGACAGTGCTGGAACGAAGTGGAGACCTGGGTCAGACTGTTCAGCAGTAAGCCCCTGTACAGAATGGAGAGCTCTAAGTGAAGCACCAAGTCTTAGGTCTATCATAATGGGACCAATGCCCTCTTCTGTTGAGCAGCTTCACACAACCTATCCTGACCATTACCCACCCCAGATATCGCTCTCCCACCACTTTGTGCAAAGCTGCTGTAATACTACAAGTCTCAGCATGGGGGCTGGAGAGGAAATGGGGCTGACTAGAATAAATTCTGGAGCTTCAGTCCCTAGCAACAGTAGTTCCTGGAAACAATGGTTCCTAGCAACCAATCAGATGTCTCCTGACTAGTTGCTACGGCTGAGGGCTCGAGGCTTGTGTTCTTTGTACTTTTTCAGAGTCTGTACATCACCCCAGTGCTGTATTTTACATCCATTGTATCTGGGAAGAGAGAACTCAGACCCTGGAGCATATTGTGTATGATCAGCACCTAAACATGTACACCTGGCATATAAGAATATGCATGCTTATATGGGGTTGCTGATGACCACATGAACATGTCTTATGTCCTTACATGGCCAGTAAGGGTGTGATTTATTTATTTAATTATTCATTATTTTTATGGAAGTATCTGATGAGGGCATAAACATATAAGTATACATGGTTATATAGGGGTATCTAATGAGCACATAAACATGCACATTTGGCTTCTTGTGGCTGTCTCTTTGTTGGATGGGGATGTCTCTATATGCTATATGGCAGTGGTGGAACTACCAGGATTGCAAAAGTTATGCTTTTGACAGGGCCCTGGAGTTCCACAACTGTAGGGGGGCCCGCCATCCTCTGCCTGCCACATACCACACAATGGTTCCTCTACCAGAATGAGAGGTGATCCAGTCTCACCCCCCCCGGGAGGCACACAGTATCTACACATCGGTCTGTCATTCAGTTCTCAGATACCATGTTGAGAGGCAGAGACTGAAGGAGAAGGTCAACTGACCTCGGCAGGACCAGTAGAGTGAAGGGGGAGGAGCTCTCGGCCATGGGAGGGAGATCTTATGTCGGTATAGGAGTCACTGGAGTGAGTGCCACTGATCCCATCCCCCATATCAGCAATGCCACTCGCTAACGGACCCCATACCAGCACTGCCACTGATCCCATCCCGCCCCACCACTTCTATTGATCACATACTCCCCACCACCACCACTGCTGCCACTGATCCCCCACCACCACCACCACTGCCATTGACCTCATCCCCCAATACCACTGCTGCCCCTGATCACACCCCCCACCACCACTACCACTGATGCAATCCCTCCCACCACTACTGCCATTGATTCCATTCCCCCACTCCCACCGCTGCCACTGATCCCATCCCGCGCCACGACCACCACTGCTGCCACTAATCCAATCATTGCCACTGATCTCCTCCCCCCACCACTGCCACCGATCCCCCCCACCACTGCCACTGATCTCCTCCCCCCACCACAGCTACTGATCCCCTCCCCCACCACCTCTGCCACTGATCCCATCCTGCACAACCACTGCTGCCATGGATCACACATCACCACCACCCTTGATCTCATCCCCTACCAATGCTGCCACTGATCCCCCCCCCACCACCGCTACCACTGATACCCTCCCCCTTACCATTACCACCGCTGTCACTGATCCCATCCCCCCGTTACCACTGTCACTGATCCCATCCCTCCACCACTGCTGCCACTGATCCGATCCCCTCATGATTACAGCCGCTGCCACTGTTCCCATCCCCCTACCACCAGTGCCACTGCTCATCCCCCCCTCACCACTTCCATTGATCCAGTGGAGGACCTACCAGGGTTGCAAAGGTCACACTTTTGTCTGGGCCCTGGAGTTCTGCCACTGTGGGGGGGGGGGGGGGGGGGCAAGAGCCCAGACTGTGGCTCCATGGCAGGGTTGCTAGCTGCAGTTGTAAGCAGAAAGTGTCTTTTACACTCTCTCTCACACTGCCCAGACCCAGCACTGACAGCCTGACTGAGGAGATAGAGAAAGCTGGACTTTCTCCTCTTCCTCCTGCAGCCCTGTCCACTCTCCAATCCAAGGCAGCACTGTGCTCAGGAACAGGAATAGTGGGTGGGAAAACCGAGCAGCCGGCAACCAGTGTACATGGTGGAGGAACTATACAGAGTGGAGACCCCTGAAGTGTCCCCACTCCTCTCTCTCCTTCCTCTGAATACACTAATGTTAGGGGGAATCAGATGTAAGGGGTGCTCAGTGGACTGTGCTGTAAGTTGGGGCTTTGGTGAGTAGAGACCCCCTTACATTAGAGTTCCCCTTTAAACCAGGGTCCACTGCATTCCCCTTATATCAAAGCCCCCTTAAATCAGGGCTTTGGTGGCCAGCGTAGAAATGTATTGGTTGTTGGTGTAAAATAACCCAATTACATTGGTGGTCAGTGTAAATTCCCCATTACATTGGTGGTCAGTGAAAATTTCCCTTACACTGGTAGTCAGTGTAAATCCCCCCTACACTGGTAGTCAGTGTAAATCCCCGCCCCTACATTTGTCATCAGTGTAAATCCCTCCTAACAATGGTGGTCGGTCTAGAAATGTCACCTCCCATCCCCATCTAGCACTGATCCAGTCTCCCTCAAGTACTGCAACTGATCCCATTCTCCCAAGCACTGCCATTGAGCCCATCCCCCCACCAGCACTGTCACTCATTCCATCACCCCAGCACTGCCACTTATCCCATCCCCCAGCACTGCCATTAATCACACCTTCCCCCCCCAGCACTGTCACTGATCCCAGGAGTGTTAGGATCCCTAGTTTCTGTCTATTGGTGGGTCCCCTCACCTTCCCAGTCCATGGTGTGCAGGCAGTAAGATGATGTGCTGTAACCTCTAGCAATCAATCAGTGAGCTGTAATAATGTCCTGTAACCTCTAGCAACCAATAAGTAAGTGGTAATGATGCACAGTAACCAATAGCAACCAATCAGTGAGTGGTAATGATGTACAGTAACCTCTTACAATCAATCAGTGAAGAGTAGTGACTGGCTGTAATCTCTAACAATCAATCAGTGAGCAATAATGATGTGTGGTAACCTCTACTAACCAATCAGTTAGCAGTAATGATGTACAGTGACCTCTAGCAGTCAATCAGTGAGGGGTAATGATGTGCAGTAACCTCTAGAAACACAGCAGTAAGCAGTAATAATGTGCATTAACCTCTAGCAACCAATCAGCATGCAGAAATCATGTGCTGTAACCTCTAGCAACTTGTCAGTGAGCCACAATGTGTGTTGTAATTTCTAGCAACCAGTCAGTAAACAGTAATGATATTCTGAAACCACAGATCGCTGCCTGATCTGCTGCAGTAAACTGATTTTGAGTCTAGCTGCTATTTATTGTATGTCTCATAGCAAGGGGAGAGCAAAATTGCATTGGAGGGGCCACAAGAAAATGTTTGCCCAGGGTCCAATCAATATTAAAAAACGTCCCTGCCCCCCCTTACAGTGTAAGGAAACTTTGCAAGTTCAGATGCAAAGGGGAACTCTGAGGATTGAGATGTAAAGGGGAAGTCTGCAGATTCAGATATAAAGGGGAAGTGCCGCGTGCCGTTAAAGTGTTCAGGTTTGGCTTGAAGAAAAGGTGACAACCCAACCCAAGATGGCAGCTCCCGCTGCAGGACCATAATAAAGGGCCCCGTGATGGAAGTAAAGGGCCCCGGCATTAGTGGGAATGGCCCAGGACAGGATGTCAGGGGGGCCCTTCATGGTTTCCTGCACCAGGGCCATGGAGGTACTAGTTATGCCTCTGCTGTATTGGGATGTCTCTTTGTTGGATTGGGCTGTCTCTTTGCTGAATATATGCGGCTGTGTCTTTGCTGAATATAATATATGTGGCTGTCTCTTTGCTGAATATATGGGGATGTCTGTTTGCTGGATTGGGCCATCTCTTTGCTGAATATATGGGGATGTTTCTTTGCTGAATATATGTGGCTATCTTTTTGCTGCTGTTTGGCCAAAATACTATTCCTTACTGTTAAATCCTAAAAGCACTGATGACTTGGAATTCTCTTTTCATTTTCATATATTAATTTGTAAGTGTATTAAAATAAAAGTGGGTGCACTGAAGGACTCGACGGGATGGCCAGTGGGTGGATTGGATGAGACGGCCAATGGGCAGGCCCTGGGGAATGTTGGTGATCAGGTTCGGGAAGGCCAAGCCCCAAAGCTGTGTAAGGGACATGGGCTGCCCTGGTCACTATTGATAATTATGTAACACATTTACTGATTTTATCTTGACATACTTTGAGGTTTGTATAATAAATAACATTGTTTTTAGTACCTGAAAATGAAATATCCCAGCATAGTTTTCAGTGAAGCTTTGGTCTGGAGGTATGACACGGAAAAGTAACTTTTCATTAAGGGTTAGACAAGCAATGGCAGCCAAAAACCAGCAGTCACCTACGGGTAAAAATAAGAATGGTTAGATGACTGCGTTTCCTTCCATTATACCAACAGTTACTGTTTGTTTAATCCATGTCTGTATAATTCGACAGCAGCACATTCCTAAACCCCACCGACTAAGATGACACTTGCATATATTGTGGACTTCATGACACTGTGTGGTTAACATATCCACATTACGTTAAACATGATCCTGCTGTGTCCAGACTGTCAATCTTAATCTGTAATATCAGGCATGGTAGGGTACAGGTGTCCAGTCACTGCAGATAGAAATCCCTGCCAAGGATGCCTGCCGTTGCACACATTCTCTACATCTCGACAGCTCAATATATAAATCCTGAGCAACAGTCTTTCCAATCATCTGATATGGGGATAGGAAAAATTACTTTGCTGGCTGCATGTGTACTATAATGACAGCTTTCTACCTTATCCTATGATAGATGAAAGTTTAAAGCTTCTCAGTGTATGAAGGTTTCAATTGCAGCTACTTTGTTTTTTATGCAACTGGTTTCTTTTCTACTCTAAATAAAATCTTTAATAAGTAAACTCTTTAAAGCCCAACTCAAGGATATAAGCAACCCCTTCTCCCACCCGCCACTCACTAACGTCTGGTATGAAAAGAAAAACTATAAATATGCCCATTTTGTCTAAAGGCATAGTCCATATTCTTCAAAAATGTTGTATGCAGCTAAGTGGGCATCTGTAAATATAAACAGACTGTGCAGCTTTGATCAATGTTGGATAATGGCTTTGCTATAGATGTAGGCTAGCTATGTACCTCCTGAAGCCTTCACCAAAAAACTCCCAGAGACACCATCATCCCATCCTGTCTTGCTAAGAAGCTCCAATCTATTAATGTTCACTTACACCATCACAGGAGCAAGGTCTTTCTCTGATTCAAACCCCCTTACATGGTCTCTCTCCTCTGATACAGTATTTTTGAGCTCCACATTTCAGAGCTCAACCCTGTGATGGTAGTATCAGTATCAGAGGTCAGTATCAATAGCTGAGAGTCTCTTAACAACTAGCTACAAGACAGGACAGGATGATGATATCTATGAGAATTTTTCAGCTAGGCTTTGGGAGGTATGTAAATGGCCTACACCTATAGGGCATTATTCAACTTTGATCAGAGCTGCACAGTTTTTTACCTACGCACACCCCTTACCCGCATAGGCATTTTTTGGTAAAGGTGAACTATGTCTTTACTGCAGCCACAATTACATGACTATCCTTCTCTCTTCTTCTATTTTCTTCTTGGGATCCTTCTTCCCATGTCTTCATCACTGCTTGGCTGATATGGATACCTGCTATTGGTGGAGGCAACACTTCCAGTGGCCAGGTCCCTCCCTCATAGGCTCCAGAGGTTGGAGAGCTCACGGGGGCTATGAAGGGACCAGTGCCTGAGCAGATAACATGCAGGGAAAATGTCTGGTCCCTATGGCAGGAAATTAGCTTGGCTCATAGAGAAATCTGTGACTTTGATCCATTACACTGCAGAATGGCTTAGGAAGAGATGTTTAGAATCAATACAGAGGAATAAGGTAATTGATACACAACACATTAATTTTATTTTTCCTAGAATTGGGCATTAATAAATGTATATCCTTTTTCTTTATGTTTGGGTCTATTTTTCTGTTCACACACTGCTTTATGTAATATTACAGTTGGCAAACATGATTTTTTTACCCTACTAGACAGTGTTTGTATTATGAAATGTGGTCAGCTTATAACATTTCGAGAGATTTACAGAAAGGTCCCTAACTGGTCCAAAAATGACAGTAATAATAAAGAGTCGATTACCAGATTTCTCCTAAAAGAAGAAAAATTAGCACATCATACTAACTGTAAGTTACACTGCCACTGACTACCACTGGAGGCAGGTATAAAAAAGACCACCACTGACCACTTCTTGAGGGGAGCTTTAGAAAGACACTGTCACTGTTCACTACTGGGTGGGAAAGGCTTAAAAAAATCACTGCCATTGACCACCATTTGGAAAAGCTTAAAAGAAAACACTGCTATTGACCACCACTTCGGGGTCTTCCACTGACCTCCACTGGAGGAGGTTTAAATACATTGCCACTGACCACCACTGGGGGGAGCTTAAAAAACACTGCCAATGACCATCACTGAAGAATGCTTAAAAACTTTGTTACTGACCACGACAAGGGGAGGTTTACAAACAGTGTCCCTGACCACCAGTGTGTGTGTGTGTGTGGGGGGAGGGATTAAACACTAGCACTAATCACTAGTGGGGTAGAATTACACACCAGTGGGGGGGGAATATAACACTAGCACTGATCACCAGTGCAGTGGGGTGAGGGATTACCAGTGGGGGCGGGGAGGGGGGGGGGTTTCAACACTATCATGGATCATCAGTGAGGGGTTAAGTACTAGAAATAATGATCACCAATGCAGCGGGGGGGGGGGGGGATTTAAACACTAACACTGACCGCCAGTTAGGGGCTGAAGGGGATTAACAACATTGGCACTAATCATCAATATAGTGGGGGTGTGAAGGGGTTAAAAACACTGATCACCATTGTGGGAAGGGGGCGCAATGATGCAACCACTGCAATAATTGGCAATGGAACTGGGGGGGTTGAGGTTAAAAAACCCTGCCCTAACCATCAATGCGCTGGGAAAGGGGGGTGGTACATATTAAAAAATCACTGCAATGATCACTAATGCAACTGGGAGGAAGAAGGGGGGGGATGAGATTAAAAAAATTGTTCTGACCACCAATGCATTGGAAAGGGGGGTGGTGCATATTAAAAAACACTGCCACTCGCAGCGTCAATAAGTTTCTATTTGTGGTTGAAAAGTCAATGTGCAAGTATTGGGTGACGTTAAAAAAAAAAAAAATTTAAAAAACACTGCCACTAACTACCAGTGGGAGAGGGAGTTAAAAAGCATTGCTACTGAGAACCAATGTTGGATGGGGGTGTGTGTGTGTGTGTGTGTGTGTGTGTGTGTGTGTGTGTGTGTGTTAGTACCACTGCTACCAATACTATTGACATCAATGGCTCTAAACTTCTCTCCAGATTGCATTGTTGGACATTGCAAAAATGAAGCAGAACCAGAATTTGCAGGCTGCCTAACTCAACACAGGGTACCTTAATGTATTACTATTGTGCAGCCCTTGGGAAGCGTCAGGGGCAGCACTTGAGGACCCCCTGTTATTTTCAAGTTGACCTCCACTGTTTTAGATATACTTTAGTTCAAATGATGCAGAAAATCAGCACTTATATTAACTTGTTACAGATGTCACCTGCATCATAAATATTAAAATCCACATAACTACATCATACATGCTGGAAATGCAAAAAGGTGACAGGTGCTCTTTATAGCAATTAGGGAATTGGTATTGTGATCATCTCTCTGCTCTCCCCTCCTGTATGGGTGCTCTAATTGTTAAACTCTCAGCAGTGTGCAAAGCAACAGAACCCTGATTGGCTGTGAGCATTCATAGGATTATTGAACGCTAATAACATGACAGATTCAGCTGCATAACTGTGTTCCTTGGTAGTTTTTTCAGTGGTTGCCTGGAGCGTTGCCTTTAAAATTAATAGGATTAAACAATGTTGTAAATAGAATAATTCTAAAATATACACACTCTATATACAGTAAACATGCCAGTCTTACCTAAATCTCCTTGACAGATATCTGTTCTGTTCGCGCCACCAATTATAAACTCAGGATTTTCGCATATTTCCTGCACGAGAAATGAAAAATATGAAAAACACAAATACAGGAAACAGAAATGCATAATACATAAAAAACTGTTTTACAGGTTCACTACTGGACATTAAATTTAATAGCATAATAAACCTGAACTCTGGGATTTAAAAAAAAAAACCCTTGCAGTGGACCCCCACATGCACTGCAACTGTTAAAAATCAAGATGTAGAGGACAGGGAAAAGATGTAATACTTCCCCTATACCATGCTTTCGGTGATCACCTTTTCTCTTTAACACTTCAGATTGTAATCAGGCCATTGCCATCCAATACAACACAGGGCTGCTGGTCCTGCATTCAGGGGCGGACTGACAACTCATGGGGCCCCCGGGCAATAGGGGATCATGGGGCCCCTGTGTCCTTGCCAAAACTCAAAAAAGCCTATGAAAAAGGTACCAGGGGCATCTCATGGGGCCCCCTACTGACCCTGGGCCCTCGGGCAGTGCCCGAGTTTCCAAATGGTCAGTCCGCCCCTGCCTGCATTGTATCTGATGATGCTGCATATGGCAGAGCGGTAAAGGGAAGCAGCTTTTGGAAGATTGGTCGCATGGTATGGCAGAAGCCTGCAAGGGTAGTTTTTTTTTTCTTAAATCCCAGAGGTGGGCATTAATAAAGCAGTGAATGTGACTTTAACCAGACATTCACTGCAGGTGAATGAATCACTGCAAACACTGTCATTTAAAAACACATGCTCCAGGAAGATACAATGCACTGCATGTTTAGTCAATGTCATATTAACTGCTTTATAAATCTGCTTCTTGAATGTAACTAAAGCCAAACCTTTATCTTTAGTTTTGGACAGGGTAGTGTATAAATTAAAACCCCTAACATGCATTTTTTTGCTGTCTGTGTCTCATTGGGAAAATTTTTCTTCACTTTCAGTCTCAAGATACAACAGGGAATCTTTCCAAAGTAAGTAAGAGAAAATTAAGTAAAGGAAACCTTCTCTATCACAGTTTTAACAGGAATAAGTTCCCCTACTGGAAGATTGCTTCTCTAATGTATTTTTTTTTTTATTAATATTTTACGGAATTACTTACTTAAAAATATGTTTAGCCATTTTTGTACTTCCTGCCTCTTTCTAGCCTTTTTCGGCTCACAATGCATTTCTTTAGTAAGTATTCCATCCAATATCAGAGAGAAGATCTGTGCCATTGGAAGGAATTTTTTACATTCCAATCAAAAAAATTTCTAGGAGTAAATTTCTATTTTGGTAAAATAAAAATGTAATTCAAAATGCGTGAATAGCAAAAAGCATTTTCTGGACACAGAATTCTATGCCATTCCAGAATAATAAACAACTACATATATACCTCTCAACCTTCAGAGATGAGAAGGAGGGGGTCACCATTTAGCTCAAAGTAGTTAGGCAAATGATGCACTAGTGCCATGTCTTCATTTACACGGCTTATAAAGAACTCATTTGCAAAAAATTATTAGTTAAACCCACAGGTGCTTTTTCACCACTACGTTTCCTTAATACTGGCTTTTCCAAATAAAAGATGCATTATTATATAGAGGTTGGATGAAAGGTTTAGTGGACTTTAACACTTATAGTAATTAAGTAAGGTATTCTTTAGAGATGTCTATTTACTAGATCAAAAAAAGGGACAACTGATAAGGAAAGGACAGTGGGATTTGGATACAAAAGTACAACAGTCCCTCCAAATGAGAGACAGGAGATATGCTGCATGGGTATGATACATATAGTCCTTAAACTGTGTTTTTACAGAAACATTCTTTTTAAGCCCAATATTTACAATTACTTTGTACCTGGTTGGTTTATTGCTAGAGATTCAGCCTTTGCTAACATTATGTTAAAATTAGACACCAATTTTGCCATACGGACTGTTTAGGTGAAATTTACACTGAAAAAAGGTAAAAACCCCCCCACAAACTGATCACATGATCAGTACTAACATGTTAAACAATGGTTTTGTTGTTAAACATAGCCAGCCCTATACCTTACGCTAATTCTTTGTTTAACAACAAAGTCATGTGATTGTCACGTCAGAACTGACACACACTACTATGTCAGGATTCTGGTCCGGATTAGTGGTAGGGTTACAGTTCTTCTGTTCCTCAATATCTCACTTCATGTTTCCACCTAACAAGGGACCAGGATAGTTGAAAGGAGCCTTACTAACTATCAGGATTTATTTAAAGCCCATTGCACCCTTAAGACCACTAAAACCACCTTAACTTAGATTTTCCCATCTGCTGTTCTTAACCTTTTTTCATTTACAAATCCCAATGGACAGTCTAACATGCCCCCATATTCACTTCTCCATCTTATTCAAACTTCCTATTATAAGTACTATACCAATATGACTTCAAAAGATGTTAAAAGCTTGGTTTTACTTTACAAATAGTTAGAACAGATCAAATTAAAGAAAATCATAAAGATTTTATATTTTGTTATATAAAATTGGTAAATCACAAATACACAAGCTAACTGCAACTAGTATACAACCAGTATTCTGCAGCAAAATTATATTTCACCCTGCTGTTGTGTACACACCAAATGGACTGCAGCTAGCACTATATGTGTTCCCACATATATCAGGATACAATATTATAGTAAGTGCAGTGCGAACATGTATCACCACCAGTAAATGTCTCAGTGTAATAAATATATATATATAAGTGCTAACAATGACTGAATAAATCAAATGCTAATCAATATAGTGAGTCCTTTCAAATAAAACAAATATATTTAAATAATCTTTTTAATGTACTTGTTTTTAAACCATTTCCCTTCAATTGATCAATCAACCTGCAATTCTCGAATTCAACCGGTATTTATTTGACCAGAACTGTCATGTTTCACATGACTGTCATATGCCTTTAAATGCTTTCTATATTTTGTCTCTGCTCCTCGCTTTCCTTTGGTTCGGTTAATGCTGTATAGATATCCCACCTATTTTCCCAGTAAGACATTGCAGTTCTAGCCTCATGGCATGGAGCAGAAACAGTATGATCTTTTCACCTATCGAATGTTCATTGTTGTAAGATTCTCTCAGTTTATGGAATAAACTTCACAAGATCTACAAGATGTCTTATCGATTGAGTCACTGACTGTGGTATCCAACTGAGATTGAAGTTATCGCTATCTCATCACAACTGTAAGTTACACAGATCACACTATCAATGCTAAGATTGGAGAGACAGAACAAGAACAGTGCATAGCCCTTCACTGACATACAGTCATAACCAAAACTATTGGCACCCCTGCATTTCTGTCAGATAATGCACCACTTTGCCCAGAAAACTGTTGCAATTACAAATGTTTAAGTATTCTCATGTTTATTTCTTTTGTTTGTATTGGTATGACACAAAGAAGTGTAGAAACAAAAAGCCAAATCTGACACATCCCACGCAAAACTAAAAAAAAATTGACTGGACAAAATTATTGGCACCCTCAGTTTAATATTTGGTAGCATGCCCCTTGGAAAAAAAATAACAGAAATCAATCACTTCCTGTAACCATCAACAAGTTTCTTACACTCTGCTTTGTGATTTGTATTTGTATAGTACTGCTTGGACCTTGAAGAAGGGGACATACCCTGAAAGCTTGTCCTCAAAATTGTATGTTAGTGCAAATAAAAATAGTATCACGGACAGTACTCAATTGTTTCTGTCGCAAATGCACTAATACGGCTACAATCACCTCAAATTACACTCTGCTGGAATTTTGGACCACTCTTCTTTCGCCAACTGCATCAGGCCTCTCAGATTGGAAGGGTTCCTTTTCCCAACTGCTGTATGGAGATTTCTCCACACGTGCTATATGGGATTGAGATCTGGACTCATTGCTGGCCAGTTCAGTACTCTCCAACGCTTTGTCCTAAACCTTTTCTGGGTGCTATTTGATGTGTGCATTGGGTCATTGTCCTGATGTAAGACCCATGACCTCTGACAGAGACCCAATTTTTTGACACTGGGCACTACATTGCACCCCAGAATTCTTTGGTAGTCTTCAGCTTTTATAATAGCATGCACACAGTCAAGACATCCAGTGCCTGAAGCAGCAAAGCAACCAAAAACATTAGTGAATCCCCACTATGTTTTACTGTAGGGACTGTATTCTTTTCTTTAAAGGCCTCATTGCTTGATCTGAAAACAGAATAATGGGCTTTACCAAAAAGCTGTAATTTTGTTTCGTCTGTCCACAGCACATTCTCCCAACAGGCTTTTGGCTTCTTCAGGTAAGTTTTGTCAAACTCCAATCTGGCTTTTTATGTTTTTGTGTGAGCAGTGAGGTCCTCCTGGGTCTCCTACCATAGCATCACTTGTCATTCAAATAACAACATGTAGTGAGAGCTGACCCAGTTGTACCCTGTGCCTGAAGGTCAGCTTGAATTTGTCTGGAAGCTGATTAAGGTTCTTTAGCCACCATTTGAACAATCCTTAGTTGCAATTTTGATAAATGTTTCTCTTTCGCCAACATCCAGGTAGATTAGCTACAGTGCCATGGGCTGTAAACTTGACAACGTTGCACACAGTGGACAGAGGACTATTAAAATCCCTGAAGATGGACATATAACCTTGACATTGACCATGATTTTCCACAATTTTTATTCTCAAATCCTCAGACAATTCATTGCTGCTCTTCCTCTTCATCATGCTCCATGTGGCACACAGAGACACACAACAGAAAGGTTGAGTCAATTTTTATTTTGCTCGCTTTCGAAACTTGGCATTGCATGCCATTATTAAGCTTATGTTCTACCAGAACACCCAGATCCTTTTCCACCATTGATTCCCCCAGTTGTACCCCCCTAGTATGTATGATGCTTGCATGTTTTTAGCCCCCAAGTGCATAACTTTACATTTCTCAACATTAAACCTCATTTGGCACATAGTTGCCCAATTAAACAGTGCATTGAGGTTGGTTTGTAAGTTGGATACACTCTGTAAGATTGTTATTCCACTGCCCAGCTTGGTGTTATCTGCAAAGACTGAAGCAATATTTTTAATACCAGACCCTATATCATTTATAAATATATTAAAAAGTAAGGGTCCCAACA